TCATTACATTTTCATAAGTTGTTAATGCAATTATTAAAGTTACTTACATGTTCAATCGCAGCTGAATCGTTGGCAAAACTTTATTTCAAATTACGAGAAGCATATAGGTGGCAACACTTCAAGCTGTAAAGCTGTAATTGTGTTTATTTTTAAACTTTAATTCTGCATCTAAAACTGCTCGCTATATTGCTTTTTCAAACGGTCTTGGTTTTGAACTTTGATAAAAAAAAATAAAAATTATTTTTGCGTTTGTTCTTAATTGAATTTATTATTATTAATATTTTATTAACACACTAATTTATTCTACATCCATCAAATTATGTTATACTTACTTTTTTATTTGATCTTCATTCTAGTTGTTTATTATGTCTTGTAACTTTCCTAATTGTAACATTTAAGGCGAGTCATGCTGGCTTTGTGATGGGCGTGCCCATACTAAATGTGCTGGACTGACAGGTAGAATCTTAGATTCTATTCTCGACTATAAGGGATTGCGTTGGTCCTGTTTAAATTGTAGATCTATTGAAATCGATCTATTTAAAGTTTATAGGGAGATACGCAATGGCCTTAACGAAATCTGTCGAGATCTTGTAACCCTCACTAAAAAATTTAGGCACTACGAAAAATTGTTCAAATCTTTTAAGTGCCTGAATGATTCTCATGAGTCCTCCAAACCTGCTCCTAAGCGTAAACGTCCTTCCGATGAAGTAACACTTAGTTCTTCTATACAGAAAAGAACCTCTCCGCCCAATGACCTAATAAATCTCTCTTCTCCTTGCCCTCAAGGCAATAAGCCGCCAACTTCCAAAGAGCTCAATTCCCCAAAAGCTCTATCTAATAGTAATAAGTGTCTCACAATTCCAGAGGCTCCTCCTAATAACTTAGTAACATCTATTAAAAATTTGGTAGTTATTCCACCTAAAAAATCTATATTTATTTCCAGACTTGCCAAAGATACCTTGGTGGAGAATATTAAGTCTTACATTTCGTCACGTTTAAAAATTGACGATATCAATATCCGTAAATTTAACTTCAATTATGATAGAAGTATATCAGCGTTTAAAATAGACGTATCTCTTGAAACATGCAAAAAGATCTTAGATAGTTCATTCTGGCCACCTGGGGCTTTTGTACGTGAATTTAAGCCTACACTTAGAAGTCAAAGTGAGGAAAACATTGCTAAATTACCAAAAGCAACCACCGATATAAAAAATTGATTGGTAAAAATTCGCTAAGCATTTATTATCAAAATGTTAGAGGTCTTAATACAAAAATAACCGACTTGTATTTAAACAGTTCCAATTTCAATTTCCATATAATTGGATTTACAGATTTACAGTTTGTATCACCTAAAACTAATCGAGTTAGGTATAGGGTTATATATATATAAATGATCAGGATGAAGAGACGAGTTGAAATCCGGGTGACTGTCTGTCCGTCCGTTCGTCCGTCCGTGCAAGCTCTAACTTGAGTAAAAATTGAGATATCTTTATGAAACTTGGTAGACATGTTTCTCGGTACCGTGAGACGGTTGGTATTGCAGATGGGCGTAATCGGACCACTCCCACGCCCACAAAACGCCATTATTCAAAAACAAATAAATTGCCATCACTAGGCTCCACAACAAGATACAAGACTCTTATTTGGTATACAGGATCACAATAGGAAGGGCATCTGCAGTTAAAAATTTTTTTTAAAGTGAGCGTGGTCTTGCCCCTAATAGGTTTAATGTGCATATCTCCTAAACCGCTAATGCTATAATAACAAAATTCACTGGAATCAAATGTTTTTAGAGCCTCTACCTACAGTGTGAATAGTTGAAATCGGGTGGCCCACTCCCCATATAAAGGTACTGTTAAAAACTACTAAAAGCGCGATAAATCAAGCAGTAAACACGCCAGAGGCAAAATTAGACAGTGCGCGTGGCACAGCCCACTTTTAGGTGAAAACACATATTTTGAGATCTGCTTAACCAATTTCAACCAAATTCGGTGAATAACATTCTTCTCATATCTCTATGTTATATTGCGAAAATGGGCGAAATCGGATTACAACCACGCCTATTTCCCATATAACACCATTTTAAATTCTATTTGATTCTTTCACTTTCCAGTATGCAAATCAAGCAACAATGATTGTATCGTGGTAAAACTTTGCGTGAATAATGCGTTTAAGGTATGCCACCTTGTGACCAAAAATGCTCTTAACTGTTTAAGCCTCTAGGTACTGAATATGTGGACCCCAGTGCCTATAGTTGACTTTTTACCGAAAATATCGGTCAATGTATAAGATATATAATTGAAATTCATATAATAAAA